CGGTCTTCGGCGGCAACCGCGCTGCGACAGTCGAGCCCCGGGAACTGCCGACCTGGGCGCTCTCAGTCTGCGCCCCGAGTGCGCGTCCCGCATCCCTGCCTGCCCGAGGGGCCGCGTGACTTTGGGTGCTTGCCTTGCCCCTCTGAACCTCAGTTTCCCAACCAGACACAATGGGACCCACCCCTTTGGAGTCGCCTGGGGAGTTAAAAATGCTGAAATCCTGCGAAATTCCCCGCGAGGGCGGGGATAGAGGGGGAGAGTCGGTCCGGCGGAATGTGTGCCCTCTCCCCCAGTAAAACCAGGCCACTCCATTCTAGTGGAATCCACACTCAAAGAGAGGACCAGGGTCAGGGACCTCCGAGGCAGAGAAGCAAGTCCAGCGTCCCGAGGGCCGGCGGGCAGGTGGTGGCTTGAGGCATCCACCTCCCCAGCCCCCAACCCCTTTGCGCCTATGCGGACCCTCGCGGCGGGACTCCCTGGAATTCCCGCAAACAGGGTGTTCTGATTCGGGGTGTGGGAGCTGTGGCGAGGGTGAGAGTGAGGTCTGAGAAACGGAGCTCCCCAGGCGTCGGCCCTAGGGGTCCCTCGTGGGAGCTGAGCTGAGCCTAGGCAGGGTCCCCGCAGTGTTGTGTCCAGGAAAGGGGCTGTGAGGAAAGAGGAGAAAGAGGGACGCTGCTGTTTGCCCTACAGAAGGACTGGACGCCTAGGTGATGGCCGGACGTCTTCTTCCAGCAGGACGAATGGCAGGGAGCCCGAGAGCCACACCCAGCAGCTCCACCCACTATACCCATTTTCTAAGGGACAGGGCAGTGGGCTTTGTGTCCGGCATCCTGACTACCGCTGAACACGGCTCACTCTCTCTCTCTCCTCTCCCTGCTCCCTTTACAGAAGACCCGGTGAAGGGCTTCGCACAGAGGGCGTGGAGAAAATGAAGGACCGCGGAAAGCCTGCCCCTCCACTCTTTCATGTCTTCTCATTTACTGCAGATGGGTGGCCAGAACTGAGGATCCCAAGAAGTTGCAGACTGGGAGGCCCACTTCCAGAAACCCGAATTAATTGACCTGGTCCAGACATTGGTCATTTTAGAAACCCCAGGGATTCCAACCCTGCGCCACTGCGTGTGGTTAACTGGACGTGATTAGAGTCTGAGGTGTCTCCAATTTCTCTGAAATCAGCATTAGCGTGAAGCTCATCAAGCCGTTTTGTGGCTCGTCCTTTCATGTGCTACCACCCCACGCTTGTGATGACACCTCATGTCTTCCCTGGGGTAAGGGTACTTGCCCTCTGTGTCCCCAGAGCTTATACTAACAGCCCCCAGCAAATACTTGATGACCAGCTGGTCCCTCCTCCTGGATTGGCCTCCCCAGCAGAGACACCTCCTCTATGAAGCCCCCCTGGCTTCCTCTGGTGCAGTTAGTATTTTCTCCTCATTATCCAGTTTTCCATGAAAGGTCATACCCACCAGCCTCATTTTCTGCTCATTCATCCTCCTCCCCACCTTGAGCCGAAGGTGCTGGAGAGCAGCAGTTCACACTGGGAAGACTGTCTGGTCCCATCCTGTTTGTCACTGACTTGGTGAAACACCACCTTCTGTCTTCTAACTCCTTGTCCCCACACAGTACCAAGGTCTGCATGCCTTTTCATGCTTTTAGTATCAGGGAGAGATTCTCTTGTTAAAGGGTGTATTTTTATATCTCAATGATCTTATGAAAACAAAGCTGAATAGAATCCAAAAACAATCAAACTACATGAAAATGAAAAAAATATGATAAGGTTTGGGGGGTCCAAAATTCACACATGGATTGCACTCCTTCACACCTGTTTTGGCTCTCAACTCTTCCCTAATTCAGTCTTTCATTGGCAAGATTGACACGATTGTCTTCAAAAAAGCCTGTGAGGCTTTGTACAGGGTCTGGTGGGAAGAGGTTGGCTCCAGGTGCGACGCCTGTGGTCACTGCCATATGCTCGTCCTGGCACACCCAGGCTCCTTGGCACAACGAGGTTTACACGGCTCTCTCACGTCTCTTCTCTCATTTACTCCACATGGCATCTTGGGAAGCAGATTTCATCTCCCTCTTGAACAAGCAGAGACCTAAAGACATACCAGAGCTGGCCCCAAGTCACAAAGGGGATGCTCCAGAGTCTGATGGGAGCCCAGGGCTCTTCACCCCAAACCCCATTATTAGCCCGGGGGTGGAAGGGTTAGTAGGCGAGGGTCTGTAATTATCACTGTCAGTGGTGTGGATTCTCACTGAGAATACGTTAATACATTCTTCCCTTGCCAGGTTAGGAGAAGGCCCTCAGATGGGCAGCTATGGCTAACAGAGAAGTTATCTGAGAAATCTCAAAGTGCCGGCACCCCATGCTCTGGGCAGGTATCAGACGCTGAATTATGCCCACCTCCTTCTTAGGCTATAGTCCTAACTCTATCCAGCACCTGAGATCAGGACCTTCTCTGGAAATAGGGTCACTGCAGATACAATCAAAGCTGAGGGTGTCCTGGAGCTGCATGGGCCCCTGCCCCAGTTTGACTGGTATCCTCCGAGAAAGGGGCTCGTGCACACACAGGAGGAATGCCATTCAGCATTTACAGCCATGCTGCCAAAGCCAAGGTACTCTCAGAGCAGGAAAGAGGCTTAGACCAGATCATTCCTGGAGCCTTCAGAGGAACCTCAACCTGGGATTCAAGTGCGTCCAGAATTTAGGGTGACACATTTCTGCTGTTTAACTACCCAGCCTGGGGCACAGCCACACCTAGCCCACTCTGTCCTCGGCAATGCCCCCACATTGCAGCAGGGAAATATGGAGCTGTGGCAAGGGCTATGCAGATCACAGAACTCCTGTTTGCTGCCTCCCCCATCAGAGGTTAGGAATACAGAGGCCACACTGGGCCTACAGGTCTGGGAGAACAGGAATTTGAACATCTCCTCGAAACCACTGGTACATGTTCCTCTTAATAAAAGCAAATCCATAGGGTAATTTGGTCCCGCTGCTCCTGGGGCGGGGGTTGGGGGTCACAGTGTCCGCCCCTTCAATGCAGGAGGCTGGTCTCTCAGTCTTGTGTGGTGCATTTGTTACAACAGCGCCATGGGGTGACCCAGTTGTCTCTGCACTGGAGCTACATGACTGCTGAGAGTCCTGCCCTTTGGGGAAACTAAACAAACTGTCCAGATCATCAGGATAGTGTGGGTGTACCCAACCCAGAGCCTCAGCCTGCCCAACACAGGGGGACCACTGGATAGCACTAGCCATGGCTGGGCAAAAGTCTCAGCACCACTCCTCCCAGCTGTGTGACTTTGAGCAAGCTACTCAACATCTCTGTGCTCCATCTCTTCCTCTGTGGATTGCGATTTAGCCACCAGGGTTCTGCTGAGAACCACATGCACACACCACCTGCACTTCCTATGCACACAGCAAAGACAGCTTTTCCTGTAACGTTTCAGTGTTGTGTGTACACAGGGCTGGGCAAGTGTTCAAACTCCTGGAGCGGCTGTCCTGATAGGCCTGCTAGGTGCCACACTGACCCAGTACCGTCCTGAGAGAGCACGTTAGTTTCTAAAGACATTGGTTCCACTGAGTCTCTATCATACTTCACTCCCACCTTGTCTTTGGGAATAAAAATTCCCTTTCGAATCTATGAGAGAGACACCTTGTCTTTGGGAATAAAAATTCCCTTTCAGATCTATGAGAGAGCCCAGCCTCAATGTTCATCTTGAGCCACTGTGGAAATGAGGTTGTTGCAGAAGGAACTTGCAGGTTCTGTGTCTACAGGATCCTCAGTGAAGTTAGTTTTGCCACAACAACTTCTAGTAATTAAGCAACCCACAGGTCAGCCTGGAAATGGTGAAGCATCGGCAGCCGTTGACAGCATTGGTGTCCCACAGGTAGAGACAGACCCTTGCCGCAGCCTTTACAGCGGCTCCCAACACAGCTTTCTGTGATGGACAGTGTGTCCCAGCCCTGCTCCAGTATTTCCTCATGAACTCATTTGTCTGGAGCACATGGGGTCATGGGAAGGGGACTGTGGTTCACTTGTGGATGGCAGCTGGAACCACAGGGTGTGTCAGCTTAGGGCTCCTCCAGTCCAAATATCGGAAACCTCCAACGCGAACTCCCTCATCCCAAACTGGGAGGGTGCTGGTCTCCTGACTGAGACCCAGACATGGCAGGAGCAGCTGTCCTCTCAGCAGTAAGTGGCCACAGCTACATCACACCCATAGCCTGGAGTTCAGAGTGGACAGCTGGACTGGGAGCTCCTGCTATGACCACATCCTCCTGCACGGCCAAGCCTAAGACACATGGCAGTGATGGGAGAGACTTGTGGCCTGTTTCCTCCACAGGGAAGGGAAAAGCGATGGGAGCAGTGCCCAGGCACTGGAGTGAGTGGAAAGGGGCCCAAAGCTAAAAGCAGGAGTTTCTGCTGGAAGAAGAGCGAGGAACTGGCAGCTGCCATAGAACACACAGACCCTGAAGATAGAAGCAGCAGGACCAGCCTCCCTGATTCAGCCACTCAGAACATCCTGACCCTACGCCGAGGGAAGTTTCCTTGTGTCCTGGGAAGAAGACTGAGGAGAAGATGGCAACCAAGATCTCAGTCACATCTGCATGACTGTGAGAAATACGCATGGGTCCTGGGAGTCATGCTTCCTACGCACTGCACCAGGGTCTCAGGCTGGCCCAAGGGGACATTAGGCA